ATCTGCCAGGTACGGTGGGGCTAAACCGTTTAGGGCTTTGTTTGCAAACAATAACATTTTAAATTGTATTCTAAAATTGACTGGTAGCCAATGTAAAGAGGCGAGTAGAGGCGTAATATGTTCACGTTTTTGTAGTAGATGCTAAAATTAGAGCCATCTCGACTGACCCCACAGCCTCGGATGAGTTGAGGCAAGCTAAGGAATTCTAATCAGAGGATTAATATAATAATTTCGTTATGAAGAGGTCACTTGAATAATGTTGCATTGGATGTGTCCCTCATACCCGTGACTGCTAAACAACGCTGAGAGTAAAGCTGAAGGTCAGGACAATTTGTTCATGTCTGCTCTGCCGTGGAGCCCCCTCATTCCATCCTCTGTTCCATCTTTACGTGCCTCAGGTCTGTAATTCAGAAAAGAGAGCTTAGTTATTGCTCTGGGACAGGAGGTCAAGATAGCATGGCAGTGAGCAACCTTGTAAAATTGTTGATGGGTTGTAAAATGCCAGGGAACAGCTTATGCAAATGTTTTAGAGTGAACAGGGCACTGTAAACTTTTGCCTGCCATGAGGGAGGGAGAAAAGAGATCAATGTAGATAGATGGAGACGACTCTCATGAGCTGAGACGTAGGTGTGCATACAAGCGTGAAGTGTGTATTTGTCAGCTTGTTTTTATGTCTACTGGCTCAATGCATCTGCATTGATGCATTGCATAGAATGGAGGTCTGCAGACAATTCTCAGTAACATGTCTTCTCTGTTTCTGGAAGAACAAGGGAAGTAATCATTATCGTCGTATCTCTTCAGACTGATTCTGTATTTTACACCATATCAAATAATATCTGTTTTACATAACGTTAGTCTTAGATTTTCACATTCCACATGTCTCCTATTTCACTGAAAAGTCCATTATGAGTGTATGACCTGCAGGTTTTACATCACACTTATGTCAATTGCTGAGCTGTAAGGAGAACACAGAGATCCCCCCCCCCCCCCCCCCATCCCTTTGGACATATAATTTACTCACTAGTGTGAATGATCAATATCAGCAACAGACTGCAGGTCTGTTTTTTCCCATTGAGTCCAGTCTCAATTCTTTCAATTCCTGCCAGATATCATCTAGAAGTAGTGTTTTTGTATTGCCACTGAGTAAATGGGCACTCTGCTGTTTATTCTGTGACATTGAGAGTGGTAAGATTAACTGTTAAAAGTGTATGTCCATATACAGGAATGAATCCCTAATGTTATCCAATGTTATTGTAAGAGCTTGTGTTAATGAACCCAATACTCATTTCAGAATAGAGCTTGAACCTGAATTAACTTTATGGAATCTCCTTTAACAATAGGAGGCAGGGCTCTGCTGCCGGAGGGCGGCCCAATAGCTGATGTTAACTAGCTTGCTTCCTGCCGATATCAACATGGATTTGTCTTTCAATTTATTCCGCTCACCATTTATAATCTGCAAAGCAAACATTGTGTTTCAGAGATTGTTTGGGGAATTAAAACGATGCTTCATGGTTTTGTGTTAGACAAATATCACTCGTCACCGGCTTGGTCTTCAATATCAGGATACATGTATTTACTATCCTTGCAAGAATGGAAGTAGTCATCATCACACACAGAGCTGCATGGGACAAATAGTTTCCAGAACAGTGTCCTTCACATGCTTTATATACAAGAGAGGGTGTTATTCAGTCACAAGATGCAGAATACCGGTTCAAAGCAGTATTCAATGTTTAGTTCAGATTAGCTAAGGCACACGTAAGCAATAAACATGACAGTCACATGCCTATCTCCATAGAGGCTGAATCATAATGTTAATCGTAGTCACATAGCTATCATATGCCTAAAACAGTGTGTCCTGACACTCTTCTAGGTAATCATACATCCTGTTACGTACACAGCTAGGGCGTTTGTTATCATGTGCTACTCTGATATTAGAAGAGTACATTCAGTATTTTCCCAACATTTTGTTATATGGACATTTTAAATACTGATTCAGAATTATGTAAAATACAATTTCTGGTACATGGTATGTAACAAATAGATATCCTTTTTATTTTCAAATAATTACGCTAAAATAGACTCCTATCCTTAATCTTTTAGGACTGCCAGTATTGCTTCTTGACGTTGGGAAAGGTATTGGGGGGGAGAGAGTTAAACGAAGTTAAGGGGTCTCAGTGTTTCCCCTATACATTCAGCAGCGGCACAGCGAGACAGAGAGAGAGCGCGAGAGAGCTAGAGAGAGCACACCTTTATCTATTTAATATAGTTGTAAAAAATAAAGTAAGAATTAAAATCATTCCAATGTGTACTATAGGACAGTAAAAAACAGATATCTAAAAACAGTTTAAAAGGGGAGTGATTAGTAAAATATGCATAAATAAAAAGAAAGAATACTAAATAGGTAACATAAAATAAGAATACACAAGTTTAAATGATTTGTTATTGGTTGTGATCATATTCTAAAGATGTTTGGATTATTGAAAAGTATACAGCTCCTTTTCATGAGTGTTGAGAGCTGTATCCATAAATTCATTTTCATTTCATTTCCATAAATACATTTTTGCAAAGTGCACCAGATTGATGCATTTAACTTCAACATTTAAAAAAAAAAAATCATCCCGGGGGTGCATGCCCCCGGACCCCCCTAGAGGATGTGAGGTCCACCCCAAAATAAAGCAGGTTAAAATAATTAAATTGTATACATTTTATTTTGATTGTTTGTTATGTGGATGTGTAGTATTTGTGTTACTGTATGTTCAATAAAGGTGATTTAGCAAATTACACGTGTAGAGCCTCAAGAGCCTTTCTTGTGCTGGCAGACACATACTGTAGAAACATTTTTGCGGGGCGCACTTCGCACGCGCACACACTAAAAAATATGTGCGCTGGGCTCGCGTGCCCTAGCACCGCTGCTATGACTCCATCCTAGGGGAAACACTGGGTCTTATAATCCGCTCATTGATCTCTATAAATGACCTAGTCGGTACTTGATGACATGCTAACGTGACTGTGTAGTTTGTGGGTTGAATGCTATCAACGTATTTTTACAGTAAAGCAAAAAGAACTCCTGAATACTATCAGGAGTGATCTATGATTACATTTCTAGGAAACAAGCACTAAACTATTACTGTTTGCTTCACTGTATCCGAGATAGTCAGCACCAACAGGAAATGAAGTTATGCTACTGTATGGCTCAAGATTCCTCTTCCTCAAGAATATTCTCTTTCTTTCTAGTTTTTAACACTTTTGGTTGGTCGTTGATGTAATCTGCAGAGTGTTTTGTCTCAAACACTGTTTAGCTGCAGTGTGCTGCAGTGTGAGTTGGATCTATGGGACCGATACAAGCCTCAGGGCTGTATGCAAGCAGGAGGAGGGGAGCCATGGTGAACTAGAGCAGTAGCTAGAAGAGAGACTGTTGTAACTGTGTTCACATCGTCATTTTGTGGGGACTAACCTAAAATACGGTACCACAAGAACAACAATCTGATAAGATCAAATCAAATCAGGTTTTATTTATATAGCACATTTAAAAGCGATTTTTGGTCGAGCCAAAGTGCTGTACATGTAATAAAAACACATTACTACAATCACAATAAACGACAATAAATTACAACAGATATATCTTAAAAACAAAATAAAAAATAAGATAAGATAAGATAAGATGGACCTTTATTAATCCCTGTGGGAAAATGGTGGTTTTAACAGCAACAGGTTAAAAATGAAAAACAGGACAGCACAGATTCACACAGATTAATACAATTAAACATAAAATCAAAGATAAAAATAAAAATGATAAAAGATTATGGAATAAGAGATGAATTAAAGTTAACATATATACAGATTGGGTCATATATTATCTGATGATCTTGTGAGTAGTTAGAGTTAGTTAAATTTAGGTCAGGGTTATGCTTCGAAAAAGGGTATATGTTGGAGTCAAGCAAATTGATGTTTGAGTAAAAGCGGGGTAAGCCTTCATTGAGTTGAATGAAAAGTAAAGACAATGTCGTCACAAGTCCAACATAATGTGTGTGTTGGCATATTTTTTAGTTTTACAATGTTTTAGAACAAATGAGTAGATTTGAAAGCGATAAAAAAAAGCATATAGTTAATATGTTTACATTGTGTGTATAGTTTTCATCCTGATTGTCTCCTTTTATTTTAATATTCCGGGTAATATGCTATCTGTCCAGGGGAAAAGACATGCAGAAAAGCATCATCACATCTTACACCTGTTTAGTTTTTGACCATGTTCTGTTCACATCACGCAACACCTCTCTTGCTGGCTGTTGTAGCTGAAACCGACAGTGTGTATGCTGCTGGTGTGTTTTGTGCTTAATCTGATCCAACTGCTGAGTGGGGACAGTGACTTGGGGATGTCACAGGGGGCTGTGAGGATGTGACATGTGGCCTTGACTTAGTGCCAGATGGTGAAGCCCTGCTGTCAGAGTTTGGTGTGAAAATAGCTGACCCAATCTGAAGCACAATCTGAAGCACATCTATCTTCAGCTCTGCCACAAGTTCATGCTCATTAGGTGACATCTAGATGCTGATTAGAGCAGATCAAATGTCAAAGTAATTGTTATTTGCATAAGCTTAAATACATGATATAGAAATACTGTGCAAGTATTGGTTTGACATTAATATTTTCTTTCTCAACCTTTATGATTTACTTATAATATATGATGTCCTTTACTATCTTTGTATATTTGTTATGTAAAGAATAGCATGTGGATCTGTCTCAGGAAATGTGTAAAGTATTTGCGCTGCCTATTTTCCTTCTGAGCATCATGCAATTGCAATTTGAAGAGTTTAGAGTCGAAGGGAAACTTCCCACTCTGTTTTGTGACCTAACAATCCTATTTCTCATTATCACCCCTCGTACCTTGTGCACCTCCAGGCAGAAAAAGGAGATCAAAGCTCAATCTTCATGCTGAACTGTGTGTCATGTGGGTTGTCAGTTTGATGCTCAGTTTGACGCTCTCTCTCCTCTTGTGTTTTAGGTCATCGCCTGGAGCAAACAGTAGAGCTGCTCTGCCAACCTACAGATATCAGTGAGTTGGCTTGACTGTGTTTTGGCAGGTTATTACAGTATATGGAAGAGTGTGGGAGGAATTCTTATAATGCACCATGAACAATTGTTAAGTTCTTCCAAAAGGTAGAGATATTCAAATGAATGTGCTGGGCAATAATGACAGGACATTACTGACAGTGGGACCGCTGTCCAATGTTTCTGTGTAGACCTGTTGCTGGGCACTGAACAGCCTCCGGGCCGTAGTGAGCTCCTTCACCTGCTTGGCTGTCCTCTGAGTCATGCTATTGGGGCGTAGAAAACATCAGAGAAGGGAAGGTAAGGGTAGATGGAATTAGAACTAAAAGGGTGGAAGAAATATAGAAGGGAAGGTTCAAAACATTTTCTGGAGCTTTATTTAGCTAGGTGACAAGCTTACATTGTTTGGCTGCATTGAAACTTGTATCTGTTATGTTTTTACTTGGTATATGAATCGTGATGGTAGGATATTGCAGAAACAGAGATCCTCTGTTATCAGGTTATGCTGGCTTGTTGACAATGCCAATTACCTTTGTTCCAGGCGAAGTAACTCGCATTCTTCACACTATGTTCGGGTTTTTACACATCAGACACTGATCCTATTAATTGATATCACACTTCCCTAACAGGCACATTGTTATGTTTTGTTATATCTGGTTTAAAAACAAAATATCACACAAACAACTATGCAATCTTTTTTAATCTTACATCAGTTTATTTACCTCTCACTCAGCTATTGAAGTGGCTGACCATGCTGATAACAAAGAACCTGCTGGGTATCATAACACGTTATTTACAACAATGGCACTCTATGAGCTCAGACATCCACCAAGGCCAATGCTGCACTCAGATGCTACTGGCATGGTCTCATTTCAAATTTGGGAGGTCATTCACTGATTTTAATGTACCCATGAGTTTTAAGTGAAGTGGAATCAACAAGGACACTTACAAAACATCTGTTGTTTAGATTTCATTTAAATGTTGTTTTTCCGACTTGAGGGGTTGTTCATGTGAATTTTTCCCTGTGTGGAACTAATACTCAGATTATTCCGCTCAATACGGCAAAAATGCTTTATCTCCCAATGTTTGAGAAAGTGAAACAGAGAAGTTTATCCACCCTGTGTTTTCTGAAAATCAGGCAAACAGTTTTTTTGCTGAAAAAATAGCTGAAAAAGTACCCTCCTTGACAGAGAGCATGATAGTTAAAGTGGACCTATCATGCTATATTTGAATAATATAGTGTAGGCATATTTATACTTTTTTTTTTTCAAAATACCAAACAGATCATGCATTTTAGCCATGCCTCATTTTACTCAATTTGACAATTTCCAGCTCTGGGCAGATTCAGTGAGAACAGCACCACCTACAGGCCTGGCATATGTACTACATCGTCTCCAGCGCTTTCGAACGGCAATGGCCGTGGCTGTCTCCTCCTGATTGGTGGAGTTGGCCCAATAGCCGTAGCGCCACTGTCCTGACGTCAGGACAGTGTTCAAATCTGGATCAGTTTTTATCAGATCCGTTGCAGCCCCTTTTTTAGAGATTTGGGTATGGAGGAAAATAGAGAGGGTTGTGTTTTCTGACACTTGGTGAGTTCCCTGGAACACCGGGGACACATATTCATGTATAAAAGACGTGCAAAAGTGCATTTAGCATGATAGGTCCCCTTTAACGATATGTCATTTGTAAATATGTTACAAAGAACCAAGTGTCACAATTTGGAAATAATGTGAAAGATACATGTCCACATCACCCAGCTCTTTGTAAGCAAGAGTGCAAGATCAGGATTTGGGAATGAAATAGAGAGGGAGGAGGCGGGCAGCTTGTGTGTTGATGATGATGATGATGGAGGAGGAGGGAGAGCATCATGGGAGAACCCGACTGAATACATACTGTACAGTGGTGGGGAAAGGGAACGCAGAAACAACAGTTGAACAATTCAGTGTTGTAAGCCTCTCACCGCTGCCTCCCCATATCATTTATTAAATGTTCTGCTAGAATATTCATCCACCCCGGTACAGCGCCATCCTCCTAGAGACAGGGAAATGAATAGAGCTCTGTATCATCCTGACAGCCTTTTGTTAGTGTAGTGTAGTCACTTGCATATTATCCATCAACACACATCTTCCATCCATTACCCTTGCCTGCTTATTTCATGGTTACTGTTGATTTTGACCACAACCTGTTCTATAAAGGGATTAAATAGAGGCAGGGCAGGGCCGTCTGCTCTGGGTTTCAGACTTTGACCCACCATGTTGGTCTTTAAGGAGATGCGACTCCAAAACCAGATCACTGACATAAGCCTCACAGCCATGCTTACACTTGAATAGCTCTGTAAACAGCCTCAGAATAGGTCTCCATGCATCTGCATGTCAGTGATACGGGAAATCCATGGTGGTTTGAATTCATATAGGGAACTTTAGCGGGAGACTAGTTTTGAGGATGGCTGCATTTTCAATTTGAGTCAGCCTGTGCGGTGCAGTGAAGTGTGCTCAGTCTGCCAGCTGCTCTGCTTCACTTATTCTGATTACATCCTTTGAAGATGAAGGGAAGGACAAAGAATATGGCAGACCTGTAACTTGTTTTAAATCATCAAAAGCCAGAGCGGCTCCATTAATGTGTGCATTGGTTCTGTGATACCTCACTGTGCAGATACTGATAACTAACCCCTCCGAAGGCATGGGGGAATTTGATGCCACGCTATATAGTAAGTTACATCGGTCAGCACATATGCTGTTAACTTTGTGAAGAATCATCTGTACTTTCCCCTTCTTCTTTTTCCTTAAGCTTTTTTTAGAGATTTACATTTTCTGAAACTTAAAAGAATGCCCCGTCAGTACTTTGTCTGTATATACATATTAATTTGTGCCCGTGTCTGCATGATAATGTGGTATGAAAATTCTTCTCCTTACGTTTAGCAATTGCGACCCTCCGGCACAAAATATATGAGGATGCCATAAATGTATGAGGTCTTATGAGAAAGCAGTGAACAAATTAAATATTTTCCACGGAGCAAATTGCCTCTCGTCTTCCCGCTCAAATGGCAGACCCCGCCTCACTGTGTAGCTCAGCTAAAGTGCACAGATATCTACTGATATTATCTTTATGCTCCCAGTAAGCTCATAAAACCAACCTTGCTTAAAATCATGATTTCATGATGAGAGAATTAAAATGTGACACTAGTCACACATGGCTTCTTGTTTATTCAGCAAATATTTGTTTCTGTTTCACCAGTTTCCTGTAAACTACGTCTGGTCGCCATCAGGCATGTCTTGTAATTAATTAGATGCCCTAATCATTCCTGAATATGTACAAAAATACTACAGTATAAGCTGCAGGTGTTTTCCTACACAATGTTTTTAATAAATGGTCAAGATAAACTATAGAGAATATACAAATCTAGATGTATAAGGTATATCAGCAATAAGTTAGGGTTTAGAAAATATATTTATTTATCAAATGTAAAAAAAGTACGAGACATGAAGTATTGAAAACGGGAGGGGCACCAAATCAAGACTGTTAGTGAAATAAGGGGGAATGTTGCACTTAAATTGGACAATAACATGGACGTGCTGAATAAGCCAAGTACATTTTCGGATAAAAGCTGATAAAGGAGTAACAATGTTCTCCCTTCCAAATTCAGCACAGACATTAACTAGAACCAAACGCTCTCAGTGGCTGTTCAGATCGCCTCAGCTCTGCAATAACTTACTCACAGGTCCTCATAATGGTGTGATTGTAATGTCACCATTTCATTCACTCCTGCAGGTCGATAATAAAAGGTCGGTGTGCCGGGTCAAATACTGAACATTGAATCAGATCCTGTGGGTGAGTCATTATATTGCTCAGGGAAACTTCAGCAGGTGACTCTCCAGCTGAAAGCAATTCTTTTTATCCTCAAGGCCACACTACTGGCCATTAAAGGTCCCATGTCATGCTTGTCCGGTTATTACCCGTCCCCTTGTGTGTTATGAAGGTTTTTATGCATGTATACGGTGTGCAGAGTCAAAACCCTCAAAGTACACCCTGTAGCGAGTAAAACTCTAACACAGAAAATACCTGTCTATGCTGCCCCAGAACGCCTCGTTGGAGATTTCTCTTTGTCTGCCTGGGTACAGTGACGTGACCATACCCAAATGGACCAATCCGTGGAGCTCCTCACACACACACTCTCTCAGCGGCAAACCTGTGACGCGCTGGGGTGGGGGGTGCTAGTGGTGCCTCGCCCCCTCAGCACCCCCCCTTCCCGCGTCCATTCGCGATGTCTGGCTGTCTCACAGATCCCACGCAGCAAGCAGGAAATGAACCCAGCTCACACTGTCCGCTCCGCGCAGCAGCGAGCCTCGCAACGTCCCGCCAACACGGCACCCAGACCCCACGCAGCATTCTCCTCTGTTTGTCATTACTGGTGTCATTTTCTGGTTGCTAACACCATAGTAACACATAATCACTGATGTTCCGCTGTAACGGTGGTAGACTCATCAGAACAGAGTGGGCGAGCTGACCAATCAGAGCACAGTGGGCTCACAGGAAGGGGGGGGGGGGGGGGCAGGAGCTCCAACAAGCCGTGTAGGACAGAGAGTGAATACACATACTATACAGAGATGCTGTATGAGAAACCAATGTGAGTTTGGAAAATTGCACAATATAAATCTATTATAGTATACCTCAACAATGGAATTATGATAAGTAGAAATGGCCATGACATGGGACCTTTAATACTATAGGGACTCAATGGGGGAGAAGTCCATGGTTTTAAGCGTTTGGAGCAGCTAGAGCCAGATCAGATACAAAGTGATGTGATGTAAGGGAATTCAAATGAGAGCAGTAATAATCCAGATTTCTGTCGTCATGGGATGAGTGCTGCTGTTATCTGTGTTTGGTCAGCCAGCCCTGCTCACCCCCGGCAGACCTTTCCCTGTCCTTACTGTCGCTTATGATGCCTGGCTGCATCCCTGGGGAGAGTGAAATTAGTACTCAGCACATCACACGATAACTGAGGCA